TAGCCTGAAAGGGGTTAATAAGCTGGTAAGGCTCTTAGTTGATTCCCAGTATTTTACCAGCCTTTTTGATTTTATAATCTACACACCACAATGTTGTACTGTTCATGAACATAAAAAGTTGTACTGTTCATAAATGTAAGTATTTTGAAAGTAAAGTGGCTTAAACTTAAATTGGAATCTTTTTCTTGGTGGGGAGGCTCACAACATGCTTTGAAATAACTGAAGATATTACATGGTATCATAAAAATTAGAATGGGAATCACTGCTTGAGGAATTCAAAGAATGAAAAGAAAGCTACCAACTCATAAGATAAAAGTCCAAATGGCCATTAGCTGGCCAGGAATCCTGTACTATAGTTTTTAAAACAAAATTTTTAAGTAGGAAAAAACAAAACAAAAGCAACTGAGGTACTGCATAAGCCATCAGTGACAAAAATTTTAAAATATACTGTTTACCCAAATAGCATTAAAACACAAAAGAAGGCTACCACAGAGTCTAAAACAAAGAAGGCTTTTATTTGATGTCCCCTCCTAGGAGTTCTTGAAAACTATGAATGCCATGAGAAAAATGTCTAAGTGTTGAGATCTCCAGGTACAAATCAGGTTGAGTTATAGGATTTCTCAGGTTACCCATATCAGAACAGGATGAAGACAAAATAAAACAGTTGAATCTCACAAACATAACATTGAGCAAAAAAGGCCAAACACAAAAACAATACATACTGTATAAATCCTAGGCTCAAAAGCAAATAATTCTATGATACTAGACATCAAAAGTGGTTTCTCTTGGTGGGGGGTGGCACCTAGGGACCATTAATGACCGGAATAAACACACAAGTTTTTGGAGTTCTGACAGTGTTCCTCTTAGTGACGGTTACACCAGTGTGTTCACACTGAAAATTCACTGAGGTGTACATTTATGAGAACTTTCTATGTGTACTAGACTTTAATTGCATTTACCTTTATTTAAAAAGAAGGAAAAAGAGATTTCTCCTTAGGAAAAGACACTTTGGCCAGGTACAGTGGCTCACGCCTGTAATCTCAGCACTTTGGGAGGCCGAGGTGGGCGGATCACTTGAGGTCAGGAGTTCAAGACCAGTCTCACCAACATGGCGAAACCCCGTCTCTACGAAAAATACAAAAATGAGCCGGGCATAGTGGTGCATGTATGTAGTCCCAGCTACTCAGGAGGCTAAATCAGGAGAATTGCTTGAAATCAGGAGGCAGAGGTTGCAGTGAGCCAAGATCATGCCACTGCACTCCAGCCTGGGCGACAGAGTAAGACTCGGTCTCAAAAAAAAAAAAAAAAAATTACTGCAAAACCACCATAAAAATCTACATACGGTGAAGACAGTTCAGGTAAGAATTATAGGTCTGGGGTGGGGAGTGGAGAGTTAATATGGAGAAGTATTACATCTCCAATAATCTATGGAAATAAAAAAATGTAAATTAAAAAAAAAAAAAGAGAAAGTATTACAAAGTTCTTCAAGGGCTATCAGTGGATAAATCTCACACACACCCCTTTGCCAGGAGAAATAATCTTGGTAGTTCCCTCTATAATACAGCCAAGCCACCTAAAAGCATTATTTCGTTTTATTTATGAAACACATCAATCTGCTTTCCAATGGGAAAGTGTGTAACAATGGCAGGATCTATTTTCCTTGAACTTCTGACCAATTAAAAAAAAAACTTTAAGAACTAGTAAGGAGGGTAAATAGTACCAGAATATAATTAGCAACTCTATTTCCTGGACCATTTCAGTGACATTTTGAAAAAGCAACTCATCTCTCATGGGGCAGCAGAATCTCAATAGCAAAAAAAGGTGTAAGTTATGTTCCAATCCCTTTAAATCTCACCATAACCCAAGATAGAAGGAAATTACATCACATCGAATTGTTCATCTTCAATTCTCTGTAGGTGTTCTTCAAGCACAGGACACACTTTTTTTTTTCAAATATTTATTTTTTCACACTCAGAGTTACTTAAATCTGGCTTTTCTTACTAGCATTATTGTAACCAGAAAAATCTGTGAACAAAAAACATTAAAGCCATTTAATAAAATTAACAGCTTTGCAGCCATCACAATTTCAAAATGTAAACAAACATAAATACCTTTTTTCAATTATTTTGAGATCACAAATTATTTCATAACAGAAAAAAAGGCATCATAGTAAACAGTAAGCATTTTCAGTATTAAAAATGCTCTCTGGCATAGGTACCTTCCTAAAGCTTACTTGAATGTCTTGTGTTATTAAATTTCAGTATATGTATCATATTGCTATCTCAACATTTGAAGAAGAAAGTTACTGTGATTCTGTAACCCAAGTGCTACAGCTTTAAATGAAAAATTTAAATATATTAGAGGTATATGATATCAAGTTGAATACTGCTGTTTAACACTCTAAGCATACATCCTAAACTGTTAATTTTAGAAGTTAATTTCTCTAATTCCCCAAAATCCGCCAAAGTAGTTTTTCTCCTTACAGTTTGTTGTTGGGGGTTTTTTTACACAGGGTCTCACTGTGTCACCCAGGCTGGAGTGCAGGGGCGCAATCTGGGCTCACTGTAGCCTCAACCTTTTGGGGTCAAGTGATCCTTCCACCTCATCCTCCCCAGTAGCTGAAACTACAGGCACATGCCACCACACCAGGCTAATTTTGTGTATTTTTTTGTAGAGACAAGGTCACACTACATTGCACAGGCTGGTGTCGAACTCCTGGGCTGAAGCAATCCTCCCACTTCAGTTTCCCAAAGTGTTGGGATTACAGGCATAAGCCACTGTGGCCAGCATAGTACTTTTAAGTAGTTTCACATTTTATCTCTGTTCAAGAAGGGGGAAATTTTCATTCAATGCAACTAAATTATGTGGCATGGAAAAATCTTATTTCAAATTTTGGCTGACAAGAAAAGGAATTATAAAACATTGTTTTGTTAAAAAATAAGCTTTATTATTCTCAACTTACAGTAATCTTAAAAATAAATAAGGAAACAAACACCACAATAAGAAAGCCAAGGCAAAATATATTAAACATATCATAGAATCATCTAAAAATATGAATGTTTTTAAGGATTGAGATAAAAATAAACAATTTAAAATAAAAATGATTAAAATGTAAAAATGAAGCATAATAAAAAAATGAGAAAAATTAAAAAATTAAATAAAGCATTATTTAAACGAGTTGAGAAAATTACCAATATGGAGGAAAATATTTAAATTCTCATTTCACACCAATGCCAGATGAGGTAAAAACTTAAAATTTATTTAAATCTAACTTAGAAAAACTAAACAAACAGAATTAAACCAATATTGTTTATTACAGTTTTAAAAAGGGAGGAATTTCATAAAATCAGTAGAACAAAATTATATCAAGATGTTTGGGCTGGGCACGGTGGCTCACCCCTGTAATCCCAGCACTTTGGGAGGCCGAGGCAAGTAGATCACCTCAGGTCAGGAGTTCCAGACCAGCCTGACCGACATGGCGAAACCCCATCTCTATAAAAATACAAAAATTAGCTGGGCATGGTGGTATGCATCTGTAGTCCCAGCTACTCAGGAGGCTGAGGCAGGAGAATCACTTGAACCTGGGGGATAGAGGCTGCAGTGAGCCGAGATGGTGCCACTGCACTCCAGCCTGTGCAACAGAGCAAGCCTCCATCTCAAAACAAACAAACAAAAAGATGTTTGACTGCAATAATGTTAAATTCTATTTATCTTCAAAGATCACAAGATAAATACATCTATAAACATGCTTCACCTCAGTAATTAAAGAAATAAAGCACAGTATGTCATATATCCCCATTAAACCTTTATAAAAAATGTTAAGTGTTGATGAGTATAGGGTAACAACCACTCGAAAGAGAATACAAATTTATCCCTTTTCATTAATATTGTGCAGTATGTTTTAAGAGCCTTTAACATGTACCTAAAAAATCAATTCTGGCAATACACAACAGAGAGATAATACTATATACAAGAAACGTGTATAAATATGTTCTTCGCATGGGGGATAACATGATACGTTCACTGCACAGAACATTTTACAATCATTTATAATGATAGTTATTAAGATGCATTGTGAGAATGGGAAAGTGTTACCTAACAGTAGGTTAAAAAGCAGGACATCAAACTAAATGTTTTTTACCCACAAATATGTAAAAAATATACATTAAAATAATGGAAGCAATATATCAAAATTCTAATAATAATTCTATTAATTCCCAAAATCTAATTCCTCAAGCCAGCTTTCAAAATCATTAAAATACATATACACACCTTATACCCAAGTCAAAGACTATCTACTTTACCACTAATGGAAGCAAAAGGTTTAAATTAACATACTAGACAGAGAAGGCCAGCAATGCAACGAAGAAAACTCACTACAAAAACCTGGCACCTTAGGACACTTGGGCTAATAGACTCAATATCAGGATTCAAAACTATACAACTGAATCATATGCATAGGTCATTTACTAATTCTAATTATCTGCTTTACTATTTTCTTCATTAGCAAATGTGCTAATCTTTAGGCAACTGGTTGTTCATTACTGATATCAAATATTAAATATAATAGAGTCTTGTTTGGGAGTTTCCTTGAAATATTAAGTAGAAAGATAAATAGGTTAAAATAATAAAATAAAACAAAGGAAGTTATACACACAATAGTACCATTTTTATTTGGTATCATCTGATAAGGAGAGATCTACAAGTAAATTTTCCAGAAAACTGAAACGTAACATTTAATTAACAGAGTTTTGAAAATGTTTACTTTTATAGCAATCTCAAAAGACACCAATTTCTTACTTCCTTAAACATAATACACAGAATAAAGGTTTATTATTAAAGTCATCATTGTGACGCATCAACTTACTAGGCTGCTCTATGATACTGTCATTCCTTCAGAAGTTAATGATTATAGGAGTGTATGTCTTTATAATGGCCTTAAAACAGTATTCTACCATAGTTCCACCTACTTTTTAATAGTTCTTCCTTTTCCCCTGAAGATGTCACTTCAGCTGCCAATGTCCCTAACTCCAATGGCCAACACTGAAGATTTTTATCTGTGGACTACTTCCAATTAGTTGTTTCCTAATAAAGGCTAATGGCTTATTATACTTGGTTACAGTCATTCTGAAGGCTTCTAGATTTTTTTATGTCCAGGATTTCTGCTATGTTTCAAATGGCTGAGGTCATTAGCAATAAATGTCAGCTGAATCACTGACTCTAACTTACAAATATACTGGAGTTCCAAAAACAACAGTAATAATAATACCTGAATAGTTTGATTAATCACAAAGTGATAGTCTCCTCAGGGCAAGTTACTCACTCAGTCCTCTCTAATAAGACAAAAATTACCTACATAAATGAGAAAGATCAGCTGAAAAGAAAAACAGAAAAAGTGAAAAGCAAAGGGTCAAACAAAATAATCAAGTCAAGACTTTGGACTTTGGGAAATATTTACTGAGAGTGGTTTTCAGAGTACAATTATAGTAGTTATCAGAGCATTAACGACAGAAATTTGCACCAGAGTATACACCAAATCTCTAGTAAATACTACTATAAAAATGAAACTCTTCTAGCAACTATTCCTTGTAGGCAACTCCAAACTGAATTTTCATATGAAATTTAGGTGTTTTTATTTTATTTTTGACCCATGGTCTCACTCTGTTGCCCAGGCTGGAGTGCAATGGTGCAATCACAGTTCACTGCAGTCTCAACCTTCTGGGCTCAAGTGATCCTCCCATCTCAGCCTCCCAAGTAGCTGGTACTACAGGCATGCACTACCACGCCCAGTTTTTTTTTGTTGTTGTGGTTTTTTTTTTTTTTTTTTTTTTTGGTAGAAACGTGGTCTGACTATGTTGTTGCTGGTCTCAAGCAATCCTCCCACCTCAGCCTCCCAAAGTGCTGGTATTACAGGCGTGAGCCACCAGGCCAGCTTAAGGCAACTTAAAGTTACAGGTTTGTGGAAACAGGCATGGTGTCAGACCTTAAGGAAAAAATTCAAGTGAGAACGAATCAGTATTATATTATCACTGTTACTAATTTCCTCTGATCACTGAAGTTCATTAGCTCTCATCATTTAGATGACTGTAATAATTGAGAAAAATGAAAATTAAATTTCTTGGTTATTTAAATTTTACTCAAGCAAAAACAAACCATGTAAAAACACATTTTTCCTCTTCCTTGGATTTTTCTCAGTATATTTCTACCAAGTACAAATAATTTCGTGTCTGTAAAAGACTGGTAATTCCCAAGACCCACTACTGAAAAGTTTATAAAACAAAAGTCCTAAGAACAAGGAACATATATTATTTCATAGATCAGATGTACGTGGACTATTAAAGGCCGAGTTACCAAGCTAAATTTATGCAGATACCTTTGCAAAGGCCATTGTAGAACTGTGACCTTCAAACTCATTGTCACTTTCACAATTTTCTACTTCTAAAAATAATAATAAAATGTACTTAACAAATGTTATTTAACAGAATAGCTTTATCTAAAGTAAAGAATTCACAAGGTTTCAATTAAGTATCACCTTAAGCTGCTGACTTTTATGACAGGAAATATCTAGCAATTCTGTGAACAGACCCAGAACTGACTAAAAAAAAGAGGAGGAGAAAGTTGCCTGAAATACGGACTCGGCTGTCCTCCAACTATTATGAGCCTAACTATTCTCGGACCACGGCTCTTGACTCACTGTCAACCTTCTACATTCCTCTTTTCTCCCCAACTTGTCCAATTCCATTTCAACATCAACCTCTACACTCCCAACGTCCCCTTTTCCTCTTTCCAACATCGTATCTCTCAACGCTCACTTCTATTCCTCAACATTTCTACTTGCACTGTTACAACAAAAAACCACATTGCCCAAAGAGTGGACACTTTTCTTATGTGACTGGTCTGATAAATATTATTACTGGTAGGTTTAAGGGGGAAATTACAAAAACAACACTTACAAAATGAAAGCCGCTTAGCAACTTCAAGTATATATACCTTTGTTTGTACGAACTACTGATATGTCTACCACTCTCCAATTGAGATCACTAAATTGCAGGGTCAGAACTACCATTTTAATCACACTGATAAGCTTTTAAAACGTCTGAAAAACTCCTATATAGTTAGGTTACAGTTTAGAATATATAAAGTTAAATATGTAACAAACATTAAACATAAAAATATAAAACTCAAGTGATAAAACATTAATTTATTTAAATATTGTTTTACATGTACTTTCTGTGCAAAGCTACTAAGCACAATCAACTTTACTGCAAAAATAAGTCACTTGTGATATTTTCACAAGATTGTACTACCAAAAAAATCAGTACAAACAAAAAAATCTGCTTTTTATCTAAGTATGCATACATGAGTCTTGACAAACAGGCACATATCACTAAATAAAAATTTAATTTAGCCAAAAAATGTTTACTGATTGACAATGTTGTGTTGACACCCCATTAAAACAACACTTTCTCCCCTTCATTTAAGAAACAAAAACTAAACTAAAACATGGAAATATCTGGAATGATACAGAGCAACCACAAAGGCTGGTTACAGAGATTTAAGACTGAGGAATGGAACTTTGTGGTACCTTGAAACAAGTACTGTGTTACTCTATACCTCTGTATGACGTGCAGGAAAAAAAAAAATTTTGTAGTTTTAAAAAACAAACTATGAATGAATTAACTAGTTACCTGATTCGTTTTGTAATTAACTCCCCACTCCCTATTTAGTACTGCAACTACTTAAAATAAAAATCCAAACACTACTTAAGAATACGAAAAAACAAAGGCATATTGTAAATTGATTTCTGAGACATTAGGGAATTGGAGAGAAATATTAAATTGATTTCAAACTCATTTAAGAAAAATAAAGCTCAAACTCTTGATACCAAAGTTTGAGTTTGCTCTTTACTAAAAAGTCGATCTGAGGCCAGGCGCGGCGGCTCACGCCTGTACAGTGCTGTAATCCCAGCACTTTGAGAGGCCGAGGCAGGTGGATCACTTGGGGTCAGGAGTTTGAGACTAGCCTGGCCAACACGGTGAAACCCCGTCTCTACTAAAAATACAAAAATTAGCCGGGCGTGGTGAAGCGCGACTGTAAACCCAGCTACTCGCTACTCGCTACTCGCGAGGCTGAGGCAGGAGAATCGCTTGAACCCGGGAGGCGGAGGTTGCAATGAGCCGAGATCGCCCCACGGCACTTCAGCCTAGGCGACAAGAGGGAGACTCCGTCTCAAAAATAAAAATAAAAATTCACATGAAACAAACAGTCTGTTACCCTAAATATATAACGTAAAACCACCATCCCTAAACATCAAAGATGGCAACGTCAGTAACACAGTGGTAATTAAAACCCTACCGATAACTGAGTTAATAGGCACGTACAAAATGATTAAAAGCAGGATTTTCTTCTGACCTCAGGTGCTATCAGAGACATAATGGGCCCTTCAAATACTGCCAAAAGTTACTGAAAATACGAAGTCAGGGTGATGAGCAAATGACACCCAGAGAAAAGAGATGGGAGGAGTTCTGTTTCAGGAGACTGGAGACAGGTACTGCAGCAGAAAACGCGACAAAATAGTTAACAGGTCTGGAATACTTTAGAAAACGGCAACACGGGAAAAACTGACAAGAACGTTTTAAAGTAAGAGGAACGGTATCCAATGGAATCATCAGGTCTGCACCAGCACGGCTCCGGACTTCCAGTGAGTGGGACAGGGTGGAACTATCACTGCGTGGGGAGAAGGACCCGGCTGAGGGGTGCATATGCTTTTGCAGGTGGCGGAGCGCCCGCAGGGGGATGGGGAGGGCAGTGTTGCCTCAATGGGGTTACTGTATTCCCTTCAAGACTATAGGAAGCTGATATAGCACGTATCCCGGCACCAAGAGGCACTCGCCCCGGGCCCCTCCCTAACGACTTGCCTTGTAGAAAGAGTTGCGGGTCCCAGGCCCCCGGAACCCAAGGCTCCGCCATCCAGGACAACTGCTCTGCCAACGAGGTCCCGCGAGAATCGAGAGATCTCGCGATACAAACACACTCGCATCTCGCGAGCTTCCTCTAACATGGCGGTACAGAAAAAAATCAGTATTTCGGAACTTAAAAAGCACTTCACTAACAGAGTAGTGAACATTTAAAACACTGAATAGGAAGTCTTTTCCGCTTTATATGTCTCCTCCTTTCCCCTTGTACAGAAGAAAAGCGGCAATCTTAAAAACCTCCGATTACCACGGTTATACTACACAAACACAGCCCAACGCGCTGCCTCAGCCGGCCTCCCTGTCACGTGGAAACAGATTATCGGCGTGCCCATCACGTGGGCCGCCACTGAGCGAGCGCGCGCCCGACGCCCTCCCAGGAGCCCTCCCCGCCCCCCTTTCGCCCGCGCACACGTGCGCGCGCACCCCCGCCCCACGTGGGGGCTTCGCCGTCACAGCCGTCGCAGTCGTCGCCTCCAGCCCACCCCCTCCCAGTACTTGGCTCCAAATCCGGGTCCCAAGCCGATCGTTTGCCACCCCCATTCCCTCCCCCTTCATTCTCCCTCCCCCGTGTCTGGCCCTCACCACGTGCCCCGAGCTCCTGCTCACCTTTCACGCGGGGTCGCACTCCACGGGCCACTTGGGGAGGCGCCGCCGCCTTGGCCGCTCTCCGCCCCCGCCACGGCACTTGCTCGGGTGGCCACCGCTGCAGGAAGCTCGATAGCGGCGCCGCGGCGCTTCCAGGTGGGTCCCCGCCTCCAGCTCCTGCCACTTCCCGCAGCACCAGCGGCTCCTTCCGGTCCCCTCCTTTCTCCTCCTCGTTGGGACGGGCGGGCGGCGGCGGCGGCGACTGCTGCTGCGGTAGCTGCTGCTGCTGCTGCTGCTGCTGCTGCAGGCGCGCTCACTACACCGCCTGCTGGTAACCGCGGCCCGTGCAGCGCCCGCGGGTCGGGGGCTGCCGAGGCCCTTCCCGGCCCATCCCTGCCCCTGGGCGAAGGTTGGTCTTCCGAGAGCGGGTTGCAGTCCATCCCTTGCAATTGTCCAACCTGGCCCTAACAGAGGAAAAGCGTCCTCGTAGCTTCGCCGTTGGAAATCGGCTTCATTCTACTCTTTGTGGCCTCCTGAGAGATTTGTAAA